ATTTTGTTCTTTAGAAATGCAAATTTGCACACTGTCTTTGTCATTATTTGGAAAATGTTTTATCAATATAAAAGAAGTCAAGCTTCCACTTAGCCCCCCCAGTGTAGTAAAAAAGAAAGTACGTATAATTTGATAATCAAATCCCAGTCTCATTTCCTTTATTTATAAAATGGAAATAACAATAGCTACCAAAAAAGACTTTGTTATTTCAGAAATCATGTATTTACAACACTTTTATATCACATGCATTGTGTGTGTATATGTAAAGCACTAGCCTAAAAACATGCTTTTAGTTAATAAAAATGTAGATACTTTGTAGAATACACTTTAGATGTTTCTTTGATTATGTAAATACAGTCTTTTCTAAAGAAAACAATAATAGTAACTATTGTTCTCTTATTACAGGCTTATGAAAAAATTGCTTATCTTCTCACTAATTTAGGTAAGTCTATTTTTCTTCACTCCTTACTAGAAGAATAGTTTATTAGGGCCTATCAGCTTATAGTTGGTTTATGTACTTTAGTATTTTTAATATCAACTTTAGTTATATAATTGTCAATAAAAGTAAAAGAAGCACCATAGGATGTTGGACCATATTGAGTAAGTATAGAGAATCAGCAAATTTGGTTCTTCCTACATTGAAATGTTCTTCTCTTCTACCTTTTCAGTTCTTTGTTTTTCCACCCAAATATTATTTTTTCAAAATATTTTACAGCATGTACACTATTTATACACTTATTTATATATTGTTCATGTATACAATTTAAAGGCAAAATAATATTAAAAAATTTATAGTGAAAACCTGTCCTTTGCCACAATACCCATTCTTATTTTTTATGTCCCCAACAGATTACATTTTACCAATTTTATCAGTTTCTTTTGTATGCCCTACCCTATTTCTAAATAACACGCGTCTACTGACATTCTTGGATTTTTCTGCTTTAGACAGCTATTGCCTTCCAATTACAAAGACAACTTAGGTCACAATGTTCCCTGCAGTGTCCTGTCTTCACATACTCCCCTATCCATCCCTGTATACACAACTGTTATTTCTCCTCCTTCCAAAGGAAGTACACATCAGCATTTTTAGCCAGATTAGTTATTGATGTCCACATCATTGTGTCTATATTTCTGTTTTCCTATCTAAGTAAAGTATGGGGGGAAAAAAGCACATTTTGCTTAATTTTATACATATTTTCTTAAGTTATCCCAAACTTTCTGCCTCAACTCTAAATTCTCTCAAAATATACTAAAAAATATCAAGAATTCTACTCATTTTATTTTCTTCTTAGAGTTATCCTTCCTGAACCCACTGTCTGTTCCAGTCTCAATGGGTTACCCTCTAGGCTTGTGGTCAGCCACATCTACTCTTGCTTTCACCAGCGCTCTGGGAATTCCTTTACCTTTATTTTTCAGTTAGATACTACTTTCAGGATATTATATCGCCATCTGTCTTGGCTTTATTTCTTGCTCCCTGGAAAGTAAATTTCTTGAAACCTTGTATGTCAAAAAGTTATTTTGTTTTCTGTATTTTAGCTTGATGTTTGATCTCCAGTTTGGGGGACAGAATTTTTATTACAGAGCTATTTGAGTAGCTATCTTTTATTGTTTGAGAATTCACCAGATCCCAGGCATTGTACTAAACACTTCTCATTCATCATTTTGTTTTATTGTAACCACATATCTATGACAGTAGGATCCTTATTTTATGGATTATGAAACAAGATAAATAAGTAGAATATAAATGCAGATGTGATACACTCCACTTGCTGGAGAAACTATATAACTCCACTGTAATATATTGCTTCTGCAATGTAGTTACAAGGACAAGTGATAATAGAAGAAAATTGTATAGAGGGGACAACTGGGCCCTAGTTCATGCTCTCGAGCTAAATGATTATATTACTAGGACATTATGTGACTATGAGCAAGTTTTCTCCTCTCCCTATTCTTTCTCCTCCTACTCCCCTTCCTTCTCTTCCCTCTGTTCCGCCTCCTCTTTATGAATCTCAATTTCCTCATTGGGAAAATGAGAATGAGAACAGATCCTATTTCATCATTGTAGATTGGCTGCCTGATACATGACAAGTGCTCAATAAATGGGAATAGCATTTCATTATCTGAGCTAAAGTATCTTCAGCTGGGTAATGAAACAATTAAACTGGATTGTCTCAAAGCATTCTTCCAGCTCTAATTACCTATATTCATTTTCTTTTAAAGAACTTATACCCAGGATGGCAGCAAATCTAAGGAAGTGGTTTTGGTACCTTAATTAATAGTATGAAACAGAACAGTTATTTGTGCTAAGAACCAGGAATTCCATAATATATACTCCTGTGAGGAAATGTCAGCTCTCCCGAGTGCTGTCACAGTGCCCACCAACCAGTCACTCTGTGGGTGCCGCACAGACCCTTCTATTTATACAGCCTACTCCCTTTGGGCTTGAAGTTCCCTGGGACCTATTCCCTCTTTATTCTGTGATTGACTCTTGCCTATATTTTGGCGTATTTTATTTTTCTTAAATTAGATCCCATCTAATTTTCTACCTTTCTTGAATTCTTCAATTATATTACAGTAATACACACACACGCGCGCGCGCACGCGTGTGTGTGTGTGTGTGTTTTCTGTCATTTATTTGGATACTGGGTAGGAGCAAAGGCTGTTCAGCTGCCATCTTCATCCAATCTCTCTCATTATCTTTTGTTTTGTTTTAAGAGTCCTAGAGCCATACCATGTGAGAGTTGACAGGGTTCTTGAAATCATCTCATGTAAATTTCTTATTTCATAGATGATAAAACTTATTGCAGAAAATATGAAGAGACCTTCCTGAGATGACCAGCAGTTGGGTGTAAAGCTGAGATAAGAACTCAGCTCTTCTGATGGGTGTAGCCCTCTTTTCTCTCTTTAAGTATTCACTAAGTCTGCACAGGAAATATTCATCCTTCAAAGAACTCTATGGACAATTTAGCTAGACAGGGTGAAAGACTGATTTAATATTTATAGTTATTTCTAAATGACAGTAACAGAGAGAATCCTGAAAAACCTGTAGATATTAATATCAGGCATCATATTTTTGGAACTGTGGGAAAAGTCTGCAGATGATCTCATTGGTACTTTTCATCAGCTCTGTACAGCAAATATTGTCATTCACATTTGACAGGCACTTTACTGAGTGCCTCACAGAACTAGCAAATGACTGAACCAGAACTTAAACATGGGCTTCTGATTCTATGTCCGCATTTCTTGTCATTCACCTCATCTGTGTAAACAAACTCTATGTTCCTTTTAGAATATCCTCGAACAGAATCTGAATGGGAAAACAGTTTTGCCCTGAAGATGTTCCTCTTCCAGTTTGTTAATTTAAACAGTTCTATCTTCTATATCGCTTTCTTTTTGGGGAGGTAAGTCAGCTTTATATACATCATCTTTATAGAGTGAAAAAGACTCTCAACAGATCCATTTCCAATTTGTTAACAAAGGTGGCACTTTCTGATCCCCAGCCATGGAAAACTGGGCTAATCAGTCTTCACATGTTTGAGTCAAAAGATTATAGAATACTACTTCCAGCTGCCACAACCAATTACAGCTGGCATAAAAGAATAAAACCTATATACCTACATGGGTTGAATTATGACTATCCTGTCATCAGTAATGTGTTTTTTTAAATAAGGAAATAAATTTTGAATAACCCTAGGTTACAGCTCCTTAGTGTGGAAACTTCTTCTACCAATCATGTTAACATTTTTTTTCTATTTTTGCTGCAAAATATGGAAACAAATCATACTAAATTACTGGTTCTAGTTTGACATATGATTAACACTACAGCCAGTGCCATGGAAGCATACTGAAGTTAGAAACATTTTAAATTAGATTATTTAGCTCTTATGTTAATATTCTTTAACTCGGTCAACCAGACATTAAAACTCTACAGGTGAAAGTGGAAAAATACATTCAGTTGGTTTCTCTGTACTTTCTCAACTCATTGGTATTGAATTCACACAGCACTTTTCTTTTTTTTAAATTTATTGTTTAAGGTATTACAAATAGTAGTACATATGTCTCCTTTTTCCCCCCATTGACCTCCCCCCGGTCTCCCCTACCCCCCCGCCCCCTGGTACTTGCCCTCACCACCCCCCACTCCAGTGTCTTGCATCTATAGGCTGTGCTTATATGCATGCATACAAGTCCTTCAGTTGATCTCTTACCAACCTCCCCAACCCTCCCCTACTTTCCCCCTGTAGTTTGACAATCTGTTTGATGCTTCTTTGCCTCTATATATTTTTGTTCAACAGTTTATAATATTCTTTATATTGTCAAGTACTTTGATGTGTAAGCTTGGCCTAAGTCAACCACTTAGGAACAAGTTGCACCAATGAACCTTTATGTCTACCCACAGATGCACTTGTGATGTATTAGATGTTCTTCAGTCAACCCACATAAATGCTAACAAATTAAAATGGCTTTTTACAGATTTGTAGGCCACCCAGGAAATTACAATAAACTCTTTAACCGGTGGAGGCTGGAGGAAGTAAGTAACCTTGTAAGGGTGGGTGTGGGGATATGCATGGATGTGGGCCAATGACTGTGGGAGGGACAGGAGAGAGAAGGTAGAAGGGATTACATTGAGGAAGCCTAAACCTTTCTAGGAACATATGCTTTATATTATAGAAAACTGGGCTCACATGCTAACCTTGTTACTTGTTAATTCATTGCCCTTCATTTAACCTCTCTGAATATCTTTCTCCTTATCTGTAAATTGGTAATAGTAATACTTAGGTTGCAAAGCTGGTTATAGATAAGAAATAATTTATGTAACCGAATTAGCACAACCCCTGTGGTAGATACTCTATAAATTATAGTTGATATTAATCAATGTTCTGTCTCCATAGCTACCCAGGTATTATTCTATTGGCCAATAGCAGACTAAGGCCATTCAAAATCCCAGGTTTTGGGGAAACCCCCAAATCTAACCTGCAGTTTTCTTTCATAGCTCAGAAGAATGACTAAATCTGCTAAAAGGCTATCCAACTATCCAATTTGGGAACTAATGCTTACTTTTTTCCAGGAGTGTCCAACTGAAGTTAGCAAGGGTTGTGTGGGGAACGGAGTGGCTATAGGCAGGTAGATCTGTATGTTTGGTGCCACCAATAATTTTGTTTGATTAGATATTCTTGTGAAATTATTAGAAGCCATTATTCTTCTTTGAAAGTCCCAAGGAAATAATTATAATACTAGTGTCAGGAAAAATGTTTTATAGCCATCTAAGACATTTTCCACCATATATATACATATGACATAGATAGAGGCCATATTTTTCAACAAAGGATTATTTTGGAAAAAAATCTGTGCAATGAAAAATTTGGGTTTGTGATAAACCTTAAAAATCCTAGAAGTATAGATATAAAAAGTATATATAATGGAAGATAAGAACTGACCCTATGAATTCAACTATACAAGCATTTATTGACACATACGATAATCAAGGCCTCTGCTGGGTAATTAATAAATATTTTGTCTTTCAAGTCTGACAGTCTATATACTAATTCTTGCCCACCCAGATGCATGATCTTAATTATTTCTGTCTCAGGTTTAGTCTTTTTAAAATTGTAATATTAATGGCTATTTTAGTAGTATTGGTGATAAGTGGATCAAATTGGATTATGCACGTAAAGCCCCTGGCACAAATAATGGGATTCATTATAAAGACAGAGAAAAAGTACTATACTACAATTTAGGATATTTCTGAATAGCTATTATAATATCTCACATAAGATTTTATGTAAATCTACATAAAATGTTAATAATGGCTAACTTTTTTTTATATATTTTTATTGATTTTTTTTACAGAGAGGAAGGGAGAGGGATAGAGAGTTAGAAACATTGATGAGAGAGAAACATCGATCAGCTGCCTCCTGCACACCCCCTACTGGGGATGTGCCCGCAACCAAGATACATGCCCTTGACTGGAATCGAACCTGGGACCCTTCAGTCTGCAGGCCGACGCTCTATCCACTGAGCCAAACCAGCTAGGGAAATAATAGCTAACTTTTATTTAGGGCTTACTATATGCCAGCATATTCCAGCAATCATTTCCAAGTGTTCTATGTACATTAATCCATTTATTTCTCACAAAAATTCTGTTATTACACTCATTTTACAGATGAGAAAACAGAAGCTTAGAAAAGTTATATAATTTGCCTCTACTGATAGAAACATTCTTATAAATTGATGAAGGCTCCCAGCTTTCTTTGGGTTGTCCATGGTCATGGAATTTTGAGTGGTGCAATGGGAATGGAAGCCTGGGTCTTCCTAAGTGTAGGCTTTTCTGAACCAGCCCCTCAAGGCAACAAACACATTTGGTAAAAAGAAGTCACCGTTAGCTTTATGTAAAAGAGCAGTGGACTAGGGTACAATGAGACTAGGGCTTTCATTCCCACACTACCAGTTACACTGCATGACCTTGGACAAGTTAATTTGCCTCTTTGAGACCACAAAAATGAAGTTTCAGCTTGCAGCTGTGATCTGTGATCTGCTTCTGTAGTTTAGTAATTATTCTGCCTCAGACATTCTACCTACCCACTTATCGTATACATGTGGCAGAGTTCAGGGGGTCCTAAAATCATCCTAGAAAGAAGGGGCATGCTTGGATGGGAAAATTGAGACTTTTTCACACAATAAAAATCACCACTGGCAAACCCTATCACTTGCTCAGATTAGGGAGTTTTAAATTACTGTGCTGAAACTGGAAAATCAGGCTCTTCCTGTCCTAATTATTTGTTCTCTTTGAAGTCCCACTGGTACCTATTTGATAGAAATAGAAACTGGATCAAAGCTGGAGAGTCTATCATCTTTATGAGCAGGACATGAACCCATTTCCAAAGAAATAGACTCATGTTTTTCTGCCCAGATGTCTTCTTAAGTGCATAGTTTACGAGCATAACACATTGATTGCACTGTTCATTGTAATCACATTTTTGTTTGTGTGGGTTTCTTTTGCTAATGTTTTTTTAAGAGGTAGAATTTTCTTTTGTTTTTTATTGAATTTATTGGGGTGACATTTATATAGGTTTCAAGTGTGCAATTCTATATAATCTGTATATTGAATTGTGTGTTCACCACCCAAATCAAATATCCTTCTATCACCATTTATTCCCCTTTTACCCTTTTCTACCTACCCTTACCCTCCTTTCTTTCTGGTAATCACCATACTGTTGTCTGTGTCTATGGGGTTTTTTTTTGTGTGTTTTTTTTTAATTTTGCTTAATCTGTTTTTTTTATTTCACCCAGTCAGTATCCATGAGTCTATTTCCATGAATTGTTTCTATTTTGTTAAGGCAGTACTACCCTGAATGTGCCCAATTTTGTCTAATGCTAACTTTTTGTTGAACATCTAAAAATGCAGAGGAACACAAGGAAAAATCTAGATCATACTGACAAACTATTTGGGGGCATGCTTTTATCACTTAAAAATGTGTTCTAATATATTTAGATATTCCCTCATCTTGAGAATGGGCTAGACTTAGTGACTTACTTCTAAAGAAAAGATTATGGAAAAAAAAATGACTAACTTTACAGTAGAAACACCTGAAAAACACTACTACATCAATCAAGTGATTAAGGTTAATAAAATATCACTAGTGACATCATGTGGAAATTATGTAGCTGCTAATGGGATTTGATGAAAATGGCACTTTACTTCTGTGATCTACCTTCATCCCTAAAACACATAACCACAGTCTCAACATATGAAAACATTAGAAAAACCCAGATTGGGGGATTTTCCCACAGGATACTAGTCCAGCAGTCCTTAAAAGTATCAAGGAATAAAAAACTCATAAACTGTCTAGATCAGAGGAGACTGGGTAGACAGGACAAATAAATTCATTGTGTATCCTGGGTCAATAGGATATACAGTGGGGCCTTGACTTAAGAGTTTAATTTGTTCCGTGACGGAGCTCGTAACTCAAATTACTCGTATGTCAAATCAATTTTCACCATTACAATGACACGTGATGCTGGGCTGATGTTGTGGCATTCACTGTGACGTTCGCTGCGCCAACTAGCGGTGGCGTATCTGAAGCTGGCTCGTAACCTGAATTTTAGCTCGCAACTCAAAGGAAAAAATCGGCAGAGAGACGGCTCATATCTCGAAAAACTCGTTAGTTGGGACACTCGTAAGTCAAGGCCCCACTGTAAATGGACAATTTAAATCTAAATCAAGTCTAGATTTTAGTTAATAGCAATGTACTAATGTTGGTGTCTTAGCTTTGACAAATATACCTTGATAGTATTAGGGGCAATGGAGGGAACACTCTGTATCACCTTTACAAATTTTCTAGAAATTTAAAGTTTTCTAACATAAAAAGGTTATTTAAAAAGAATATGTTATAAGCATTTTCCATAGAATGAAATATTTGTCTGTCTCCTGACTGTTAATAGATAGGTAGTATTCCAGAACATTTATTGAAGGTGATCATGCCTAACACAGAGCTTGGCAGATAGTATGTGCTCATTAAGAGTTATATTTGATGATATTGCTGTTATAATTTTGATTAAAATTCCAATATAGAGTAGGGGGTGGGGGGTAATGGGGGGATAAGGACACATATGTAATACCTTAATCAATAAAGAAATTAAAAAAATAAGAGGTCCAAAAGAAAAAATAAAATAAAATTCCAATATAAATCTTAAAAAACTCCCTTATCAAGTGTCCTCATCTTGAGATAGTTAGTGTGACCTGACCTAAGAATTTGCTTTACAATTTGAAGGTGGGGATGCTCGAGACAACTGAGAAAAGCGAGATCATTTCTGTTTTTGTTCTGTTTCAGTGTCATCCTAGTGGCTGTTTGATAGACCTCTGCCTCCAGATGGGTGTTATCATGTTTTTGAAGCAAATATGGAACAACTTCATGGAATTGGGATATCCGTGAGCACTTTATTTTTAAAATTGCCTTATATATAGTTACAAAAAAGATAGAGGTAGTGTGAATAGTTCTTAAGTATTTGGGCTTGGCAGTAGGTGAGGGTTCCGTTCTCGCTGTGCTTCTCACTAAATGTGTGACTGTGTGTATGTTAGTAAAATTTTCTGAGCCTCAGTTTCTGGATTTCTACAAGCGGATCAACAGCTATAGCTACCTCAAGAACAATTGTAAGAACTAAAGAAATACGAATAGATACAGAGTAACTGGTACTCTGATCAATACATTAAGACATTTGTTATTCTTAAAACATTGATAGTACAGGTTCTTGAGGATAAAAATAACTTTCTGATTTATTTTGGTTATCAAAAGACCAAGACGGTTATTGTGTAATAGAGACTCCATCTCCACACATCCCTCCCTCAAAAAATGAGTAAAACAAAGATAAATTCATGGATGGATGAGGTTTGTACTCTTTGTTACACATACACACACACACACATACACACACACACTAGAACAAGATTGATTGTGATTACATCAGATCAACACCACTTTTTTGTCCTTTTAGGTTAGTTTTAACTGTCTGAATTGCTGACATGGAAGGATCCTGAATCCCCACTCTTACATCTACTAAATAGATTATCCTACAGAATACAGTGAAACAGTGTATCTTAAACAATTTTGTATGTAAGATTTGGGGAAATCAAGATTAGAAATAAGACTATTCTGAGGAATTTCCTGACGATGAGGGAAGAACTGGTTAGCTGATAGGTGATGTAAAAATAGTTTAGGGTTAATCATCAAATTATACCATGATTCTTTCTCCCTGCTGGCCCACAAATGGCATCAGGACATTTCTCAGCAGAGACCTTGGGGCTGGAAAGGTGATATTAACCCTGAAATCAAGCATAAAGTATTGTAGTAAATTCCAAGCAGTCCTAGAGCATGGAGTATGAAATTACCGAGACCTTGTTCAAATTCCTTCTCTGTCCCTTGCTAAAAATATAACTTACTTGACCTTACTGAAATGTTATTATTTTTATTTGTAAAACTAGAGGCCCAGTGCATGAATTCATGCACAGGTGGGGTCCGGCTGGCCTGGCCCCAATTAGGACGGATTGGGGCTGGGCCTGTCAGGAGGAGGAGATGGCAGGAGGTTGGCCAGCCAGCCTGCCTGGATCAGGGCCGATCAAGGCCCCAGATCAGGGCAGGGCGGGCTAGGGGAAGGGGCTGTGGGCACTGGGCTGGCCAGCCCCGCCCCCAAATGGAGTGGGAGCAAGGTGCCAATCAGGGGCCAGCGGCCTGGGGGAGGGGCCACGGGTGGTTGGCCGGCCAGCCCTGCCCCTGATCAGGGTGGGGAAGCTGATCAGGGTTGGGGCCAGGTGGGGGGAGGGGCTTCAGGAGGTTGGCCAGCCAGCCCCACCCCCTATTGAGGTGGAGTGGCGATCAGGGGCAGGGCTGGCCAGGGGGGTGCTTCAGGCCAATCAGGGTGGTGGGGGCACATCAGGGACATGACCAGCCAATGGGAGGGGCTGCAGGAGGTTGGCTGGTCAGCCCTGTCCCCTATTGAGTTGGAGTGGTGATCAGGAGTGGGGCTGTGGGCCCATTAGGGTGGTGGGGGCCCATTAGGGGCATGGCCAGCCAGGGAGAGGGACTGCAGGAGGTTGGCTGGCCAGCCCCGCCCCCTATTGGGGTGAGGGGATGCGATTAGGGATGGGCCGGCTAGGGGGAGGAGCTGCGGGCCTATTGTGGTGGGGCAGGCTGATCAGGAGCATGGCTGGCCAGGGGGGAAGGAAGGGGGCATTTGGCTGACCAGCCCTGCTCTTGATCAGGGTGGGAGAGTCTGATCAGGGGCAGGCTGGCAGGGGGGAGGGGCCCTGAGGTTGGCCGCCGGCCCCATCCCCTGATTGGGCAGGTTAGCTGGCCACAGTGGATGTCATAGCGACTAGTTGTTAGGTCGTTATGGCCATTACGGTAGCTGCCTTTTTATATCTACACTAATAAAAGAGAAACATGGTAATTAGCGTACAGCCGCTACCCTTCCCATTGGCTAATCAGCA